AGCTCTGTGACTAGGCCCACCCCAAGGTAGACTTGCACCCATGAAGAGGCAGTGTAACAGAGAGCTATGTGACTAGGCCCACCCCAAGGTAGACTTGCCCTTATGAAGAGGCAGTGTAACAGAGAGCTCTGTCACTGGGGCCACCCCAAGGTAGACTTGCCACTATGAAGAGGCAGGGTAAGACAGAGGTCTGTGACTAGGCCCACCCCAAGGTATACCTGCCCCTATGTAGAGGCAGTGTAACAGAGAGCTCTGTGACTAGGCCAACCCCAAGGCAGACTTGCCCCTATGAAGAGGCAGTGTAATAGAGAGCTCTGTGACTAGGCCCACCCCAAGGTAGACTTGCCCCTATGAAGAGGTAGTGTATAATAAAGAGCTCTGTGACTGGGCCCACCACAAGGTAGACTTGCCCGTATGAAGCGGTAGTGTAACAGAAAATTCTGTGACTGGGCCCCACCCCAAGGTCGACTTGCCCCTATGAAGAGGCAGTGTAATAGAGGGGTCTGAGACTAGGTCACCCCTAGTTAGGACTAGGCCGACCCCAAGTTAGACTTGCCCCTATGAAGAGGCAGTGTAACACAGAGCTCTGTGACTAGGGCATGCCCATGGTAGACTTGTCCTATGAAGAGGCAGTGTAATAGAGAGCTCTGTGACTAGGCCACCCCAAGGCAGACTTGCCCCTATGAAGAGGCAGTGTAATAAAGAGCTCTGTGACTAGGTCCACCCCAAGGTAGACTTGCCCCCATGAATAGGTAGTGTAATAAAGAGCTCTGTGACTAGCCCCACCCGAAGGTAGACTTGCCCCTATGAAGAGGTAGTTTAAGAGGGAGTTCTGTGACTGGGCCCACCACAAGGTAGACTTGCCCATATGAAGTGGTAGTGTAACAGAAAACTCTGTGACTGGGCCCCACCCCAAGGTCGACTTGCCCCTATGAAGAGGCAGTGTAATAGAGAGCTCTATGACTGGGCCCACCCCAAGATAGTCTTGCCCCTATGAAGAGGCAGTGTAACAGAGAGGTCTGTGACTAGGCCCACCCACGGTAGACTTGTACCTATGAAGAGGCAGTGTAACAGAGAGCTCTGAGACTGGGCCCACCCCAAGGTAGACTAGCCCCTATGAACAGGCAGTGTAATAGAGAGTTCTGTGACTAGGCTCACCCCAAGGTATACTTGTGCCTATGAAGAGGCAGTGTTATAGAGAGCTCTGTGATGCAACAGAGAGCTCTGTGACTAGGCCCACCCCAAGGTAGACTTGCCCCTATGAAGAGGTAGTGTAACAGAGAGCTCTGTGACTAGGCTCACCCCAAGGTATACTTGTGCCTACGAAGAGGCAGTGTAACAGACAGCTCTGTGACTAGGCCATCCCCATGGTAGACTTGCCCCTATGAAGAGGTACAGTAACAGAGAGCTCTGTGACTAGGCCCTCCCCAAGGTATACTTGCGCCTATGAAGAGGCAGTGTAACAGAGAGCTCTGTGGCTACGGCATCCCCATGGTAGACTTGCCCCTATGAAGAGGCAGAGTAACAGAGGGTTCTGTGACTAGGGCATCCCCATGGTAGACTTGCCCCTATGAAGAGGCAGTGTAATAGAGAGCTCTGTGACTAGGCCCACCCTAAGGTAGACTTGCCCCTATGAAGAGGCAGTGTAACAGAGAGCTCTGTGACTGGGCCCACCCCAAGGTAGACTAGCCCCTATGAAGAGGCAGTGTAATAGAGAGTTCTGTGACTAGTCCCAGCCCAAGTTAGACTTGCCCCTATGAAGAGGCAGTGTAATAGAGAGCTCTCTGCCTATGCCCACCGCGAGGTAGACTTGCCCCTATGAAGAGGCAGTGTAATAGAGAGCTCTGTGATGCAACGGAGAGCTCTGTGACTAGCCCCACCAAAAGGTAGACTTGCCCCTATGAAGAGGTAGTTTAACAGAGAGCTCTTTGACTGGGCCCACCACAAGGTAGACTTGCCCATATGAAGTGGTAGTGTAACAGAGAACTCTGTGACTGGGCCCACCCCAAGGTCGAATTGCCCCTATGAAGAGACAGTGTAACAGAGAGCAATGTGACTAGGCCCACCAGAAGGTAGACTTGACTACATGAGGAGGCAGTATAACAGAGTGCTTTGTAACTAGGCCCACTACAAGGTACACTTGCCCCTATGAAGAGGCAGTTCAACAGAGAGCTCTGTGACTAGGACCACCCCAAGGTAGACTTGCCCCTATGAAGAGGCAGTGTGACAGAGAGCTCTGTGACTAGGTCCACCTCAAAGTACACTTGGCCCTAGGAAGAGGCAGTGCAACAGAGAGCTCTGTGAGTGGGTCAACCCCACGGTAGACTTGCTCCTATGAAGAGGCAGTGTAACAGAGAGCTCTGTGACTAGGCCCACGCAAGGTAGATTTGTCCATATGAGAAGGCAGTGTATCGGAGAGCTCTGTGACTACACCCACCCTAAGGTAGACGTGCCCGTATGAAGAGGCAGTGTAAAAGAGAGCTCTGTGACTGGGCCCACCCCGAGTTAGTCTTGCCCCTATGAAGAGGCAGTGTAACAGAGAGCTCTGTGACTAGGACCACCTCAAGGCAGACTTCCCCACATGTAGAGGCAGTTTAACAGAGAGCTCTGTGACTAAGCGCACCCCGACTTATACTTGCCCCCATGAAGAGGAACGGTAACAGAGAGCTCTTTCACTAGGT